GATACTGAGAGATGTGGTGCAGTACTTGGTGCTGCTGGAGCTGATGTTGCTAGAATTGTTGCATTTGGGCTTGCATTGCCCGCATGCATTGCATCAGGTCGTCCAACTGGTTTAGGATGGTCGCCAGGGGGACAGCAGTTGGTTCAGTAAAGGTTGTTTTGATAAGGAGAGGAAAGGGGACATTCATGGCAGGAAGGTTTACGAGCGCCACTGTTTGTGGCGCATTTAGGTTGGGGATCCCATCCACCGGAAGGGGGATGGTGAACTGTCCGATACACACCACGGAGACTTGAAGTTGTTCCCCGGTGGTGTTCATCTCCGTGCCACGTCCGACATTGCTAGAAGAAGCCATGAGTGTTGGGTTTTTTGGAAAAAAGAGGTTATGAGAGTTTTAGAGGGAGGCTTTTAGAAGCGTTCCCATAGACGACGCCAATTGAGGGTGTGCAATCCGGCCGGTCCTAGCTGTCAACGACCTTGCCTTTGACTGGAGCAATGGGGGGCCTGAAATGGAGAAGAAAGTGGGGAATCTCCGGGAAGGAACCTAGTGAGATTGCTCCGAAGCTCAAGTTAGTATTCTCTCAAAGGCAAGATAAAACCAGATGGCGCAAAGTTCACATACCTTGTCCTCGGGGGGTAGAGAGCCTTTTATAACCACTTCGCGCACTCACTCCTAGGCTTCTGTCAGGTTGAGTATGATTACTTCTGTGCTTCTGCCAGTTCGGGTGTCATCACCTCTGTTGGGACAGAACCGCCACTGCTCTTTGTCGGAGCCGTCTCTATAACTGGAGATGGCGGTGGCAGGTGGCCGTTGGAGTGCGGCTGTCAAGCGTCAGATCCCAAGTCAGTCAGGTGCGCCGCCCCTGGGTACGGACTCTTTCGGTGTCAGGTACGGTGCGGTTTAGTTCGGTGTCCTGGAGGCGAGGTGCTGGAGTGGTGTGCGAGGTTAAGTCTTGAGTTCGGATAGAGGTGCGGCCCGAACTGCCATGGGGCATGACAGTTCAAGTTGCTACCCTTTGTGTTCGTAAGGCTCGGGGCCTAAAGGAGAGCTCGGGCTCCTTACGGGGAGTTCGGGCTCCTTGCAAGGAGTTCGGACCACTAGTTCCTCCTTTCGGAGCTCGCACCTTGGCGTGTTGTTGTGTCGAGCTGTTGCCTTTGCCACGTGTTGAGTGGTTACGAGGTCGGGCCAAATCTTCCTTCATCAATTATTAAGGAAATTTAGTCGATGCTTAGCATTGGTTATTTTAGCAACCCATCAAAATGAAATACCAATCTAATATTATTACTACAGGGCTGAGAATTCTTAAATTACTTCCGTATCAGTATATCTGCATTTTGATTGCGGTGCAAATTTTATTTGCATTGATGCAAAGTTTGATAGTGCAAATGATTTGGATGCAAGTTCTAATCTATTTTTGTTTTAAATTTTATTTTATTTTATTTGATTGGAGTACAAATGAAGTAAATGTGGTTTTCGAATTGCCATTGATTCGGACGGTCGGACCGTTCGGCCCGAGAATCGTCTAGACAACTGATTCCGTTTTACTCCAAACTCGGTCTCTGGCTAAAAACCATTGAATAAGTCAACGACCTGTTGACCCAAGCGGTCGAACCGTTGACCTGTTCAACGGTTTTTATCTATTTTTATTATTTTTAATTTTTTGTCAGAACAAGCCGACCGTTCGAACCGGACAATCAAACCGTCGACCCAAAAACCGGTGGCCAGAACGGTTCTGTTTCTGGGTTGTTTTTTAAAACCATAAAAGTAAAATAAGACCTGAAGCAAAATAAAATAAAACCCAAAACAAAATTGAACCAGGATTTGTATTCTTTTTATTTGCACTCCCATGCATTTATACTAATGCAAAAAAAGAAAAAAATGCACTGCAAACCAAACACAGCAAAGTGTTAATGCTTTACTTTCTCTTCTAATTAAAACATATCTATGAATTTGTGTTAAACCTCAATAAGCTTAAAAATGACCGGTCAAATTTGCCAAGATGCAGTTGTTTTAATTGTGAAAAGCATAGGAAATAACCAGGATTCGAAACAAGAAAAGGCTGAGTCAGATATGACCGGTAAAGCCTTTAAATGATGTTTTTTATGAAATAAAATAAAGAAAATAACTAAATTGCCTGCTTTCCTTTCTCAACCCTTTGGGAAATGTTGTTGCAATTATATCAAGAGAGATGCAATTTTTAATCCTTACAATAACATCTTTGCTTTATTGATGAGTTGATGAATTTCAAACCTGTTAATCATTTATATTTTGGTCCTCATTCTCAATCCTTTTCCTGGTTATGCGAAGAGGAAGTGATGGATCTGAATTACAGTTCATGATGCATATCTAGTCTTTTAGTCAATATCAGTTTTATCATATTAATTCTCTTTTCAGGAATGAATCTTGATCCAATGATTAGTTTCTATTTGACTCTCATATTTAGGGTGAGAAAAAAAAAACGGAAAAGCCATATTGAATCGAAATTCGAAAAATCATCCGAAACTGAATTGGTTGGTTTAATTTCGGTTTAGTATTTTTACAAAAATCAAAGGTACCAATTTAATTTCAGTTAACCAATATAGAAAGTCAACGGTTAATCGAACTGATCGGTATACACATATTTCTATACATTTTAGGGAGAATGATGATTCAGCCAGGGTCATAATTTGTAGGCTCAAATTACATTTGGGGTAGGTGTTAGTTTGGATTTGATGCCATTTCACCAGGAGGTATAGATGCATAGATTGTGGGTTTTTGACCTTTTGAATGTTTATAGTTCTGCAGTGGATATCAGAAATCTGCATTGGGCCTGTCCGTACTTCTCTGTATATTTTATGTATATTTATGTATACTATATATATTTTATATTTTTTATATATTATAAATTAATAAATATTCATTATATATAAATATATTTATAATATATAATATATTATTTATTACTTAAAATATAATATTATATATTTTTACAATATATATATATATATAAACCGATGAACCAAACTAACAGTCAACTGATTAACTAATTGGCTTCGATTCAGTTTTGATTACGGATAATAACAGTTTGGTTTCAAAAATAGACCCATCGTCCAGTTAAACGAACCGTGAGCACCCCTACTCATATTCTGAAATGTTGCTTGTAAAGGGATTTCCTTATTTTATTTAAAGCAGAATTTCTAGTTGAGCTAAGAAAGGGTCCTGTTGTAGGCTTATTTGCATCACCATCTGATAGATGATTGGCAATATTAGCCAATCTTCAATTCCTTCACTGGACACCCATAAATTCCATTTGCAAATTCTCCTTTTGTCTCTATACTACCCAGAATTTTTTTTATATATAGGCTCGATTTGTTTGCAAAAATATATGGGAGTGCAAATGTGCTTAGTAAATTCTGGTTTACTGTTGCTTCAGATTTGAGTTTCTCTTATTTGTTTGTGAGAAGCAAAATAGGAAGCCAAATGACATGGTTATGACGCAATTCCCACTCCATATTAAGGAGAAATGAGGTAGGTGGAAGGTGGTTCAAATTTTGCATCAGTTTTTGAAATATAAAATTTGCGCGGTCAATAAATGCAAATGAAACAAAAACGTATAAATTTTTATATCAGATAGGATTGCAAATCATAGTTACAAAAATATGGATGAAAAACTGCAAACAAACACAGCCATAATGATGAGGTCATACCAAAGAGCATTGAGATGACCCCTCAAATAAATAAATAAAAAATATTGTTTGTATACTTCCAAAGCATGAAACAATCAACAATGAAGAAAGATTGAAACTCATGTTATGATTGCATAAAAAAAAAACATTTTTGGACCTTTAAACCACAAAGGATTTTTCTGATGCTATGAATTTTTATATGCTTTAATTCTCTTTTCCCCTTCTTTTTTGTTTTTTTCATTTCAATTCATGATCTATGTTTTTATTGTTTTTCATACAGAAAGAAGTAAACCCAAATTGTTCTTCAACTCACTAGCAGTTGCACATGGATGATATTCCTAAGCTGCTGAGTAAGAACAGCTTCTGTCAAATTAACAATTTGAGGTTAATTCCTCTGTAAAAAAAAAAAAAAAAAAAATTGCATGCGGATCAATTACAAAACAGAATCATCTGTTTTCTTTTTTTTTTTTTTTTAATTGAATTGGTACTCTATATTGAAAGTTTATTCTTCCACATCCATTGACCCCAAGATTCCTCTGAAATTTCATCGACTACAGAAAATGAAAAGCTTTTCCTGAATGATTAGAGAAATGAAAATTCTCCCACTCCACTCACTTTCTCATTGATCACAGCAAATATATTTTTCTGCAAGTGGACTGCAATCAATCAAGATAGTTGGGCCAACACTCTTGATCAAGGAATAGCTCCAAAACGGCATCTATATCATTAAACCTTCAACCTGTAAACTTTAATGAGTGTATCCCATCAATGAAGCACCCAAACAAATAGCACATGTACCACAGCAGGACAGAATTTTCTAATTACACCATATATCAAACGGTATGAAAACAGAGACAGAATTATCCTATGGTAGAGTACAAGAATGAGGTTAAGAAGTTTTGGAAGTTCACAAGACAAATTCGTTTACAAACCTGTTTAGACATTAGAGGGAATTTCCTTCCTAAATCACCAGAACCCCTCATGGAAAGCAAATGAAGAAATTCAGTAATAGAATCATGCAATAAACCAAAGTGAAAAGTCATCTTAACTACTCCGCACCAGTCTAACCCATAATAAACATTGATCAGTTATCAGTAATTCAGTGCAGAGAATCTATGTTCTTGCTCAGTTCCTCCAGCTTCTTCATCCGCAGTTTCTCGCTCTCGCTTAGTAGCTGCTCAGGAGATTTCCAAATCGGAAAAATGAACAGGAGAGGGGAAAAAATGCAAATTAATATCAGAAAGAAATCAACTGCATATGTATACTGACCTCCATTAATTTGGTGATTAGTTGAGCTTTTTCTCTGTTCTTTTCATTGAAAGCTTCAAGGGCTTCTTTGTATTCCTTCTCCTGTCACCAATCAAAACCCCACTTTTAATGCAATTAATCCTGTTACTTCTAATTATCACACTGAAGATACTCATGAAGAAAGGTAAAGCTTCTGAGCTGTGAAATTAATAACTACTTATGATGGCTATGATGAATTTTTGACCTTCTTTTGACAGGTCTGTCCCAGTGGCTTCAACTCTCGGTTCACTCCATCAATCTTCTTACGTAATAAACCAATTTCCTTCTTCATTGGATCAGCCAGAGCTTCAAGTTCCTGGTGGGTATTTTCGTGAACAAAGAATTCAATATATTTGATCACCAACAGCTTAAAAGTAGATATTAAACAGGAATTTCAAATATCTATTGTTTGCATGGATATTTGGATAAAAGCTAAAAGCACTGCAAATTTTAGAATTTAGACACAGATCAAGTGGTATTGAGCTTAATTTCTTCAAAATAGTTGTTTCTCTCTCTGATTAGAAGTACAGAATTGGAATTAAGCTACTGATGGTGGAATCTTGTGGCTCTGGTTACAGAAGTGTTCAAAATTTTCATGCAGATAGCAACATGGGTATGTGGGTTTAGCCTTCGACTTACTTGTCTAATCTCTGCCAAACGCTTTGATTCTTCTTCCACACGACCCAACTGAGCCTGAACCTTCTCCCTCACCTCCATCTTCTTCCTCTCGATTTCTTCTTCCTTTTCTCGGAACGAAGTAAGAGCCGATCTTGACATCTCTTCTTCCTTGTCATCCTTTCTCTGGCTCTCGTTATGGCTGATGTTCTCCGAGTTCTTGACTCCTTGCACCTGTGGCTGGTGCTGCTGCTGCTCCCATGTCTGCTTCTGGGTTTGCATCTCTGCCTCTACAGAGACCCTTCTCTCTCTCTCTCTCTCTCTCTGGAATTCCTTCTATCTTCTTCTCTTTCCTTCTGGTCTGCTTTTGCTTTAAAATGATTGTTCTCCTTCTCCGCTGCTGGTGCTTATAAACAAGGCCGGCTTTAAAGGTCTCAAAGCAACCAGCTTTCTTTATTGCGAAATTTTCAAAAGCATGAGCTGAAATGACCAGAGTGCCACTGCTTTATAATGATAAAGATGGAGAAGATTTCAACTTTGGGGAATAAAGACTTCTTCTCATCTCAGTAACCCAATTCCTCTATTTACCATTACACAGAAACCCACTAGATAAACAACCTGGATTTTCCTTTTTTCCTTTCAAGATAAAAAGTCTAGATATATCACTTGATATCAGTAAGGATTCTTTCCAAACTAATTTCCTTTAGCTTTATTTCATAAAAACAATTGGTAAGCTGCTTTCGGATCTACATTGAGCCTCTCTCGATGAACAATTTTCCTAATTTGGTTTTTCTTTGATTGATCTTCTGTACATTTTATTATGGGTGTGATAATTTTTTGTTGAAAGTTTCATTTTTCCATGAAGAGGGGTGGGTGTGCTTAGGGTAGAAGGCTTGCATGGAGTAGACAATAAGGGCTTACCTACACAAAAAATAAAAACCGTGGGGGCCAAGACAGATTAAGAGACAACCAGACAGGACAGTACAGAGCTAACTTTCAACAAATATGGTTAGCTTTCCAAGATGGGCTTCAATGAAAGACCTTTTTCTCCTTTTGGTTAAGAATTGGTTTTGTGTATTAATTATCATTAAGTAGTTAATGGGTTTCTGCTTCTGCTTTTACCTTTTTCTCCTTTTTCTTTCTCTGTGGGGGCCAGTGGAACACCCAACATGATCAAATATAAAAAAGCTATGTGTAAATCCAACGGCTGAGATCAGCTAACAAGATTGATGTTGGTAGGACCATCCAACAACCACGTTGCATTTGCGTCACTGCGCGTGCAAAAATGGGCTCCTGGCCTACAGATTCTCTTGTTAGTAGTTAAACGTATTATTCCAACAGCAGCTCTTCTTTTCTGATGATGAGAGCTCAGCTTTTATTAATTACCAACGCCACATTAGAATAATAAGAAGAAGAAAGAACGTCCAACTGCGGTTAGGTCACCTTCATTTGTTAGGCAGTCGACAGGGTTGAATCAAGTTTGAACGCTACTTTGCATCGATATCTTCTTGGTCTTGGGCCCATGCTGCATGGCTTTTCTTTCTTTTTCTCTGAGTGATGGAACATTTTGGTGTTTATTTTAAGTTCCCACTTCCATGAAAGACATGGTCCAAAGCTCTTAGACTAACCGAGCAAAAGGCTCTGCTTTGTAGCCACAACCCATTTAGAGACACATGCTGTAGGGAGGAATTAAAGCTAGAACCTAGCTATGACTTGGCAACAGTACTGATAGTGCCCTCATCAAGCCAATTCACTCCACACAGGAAGCATTAGACTAATTGGTTAAAATATATGAGACAGCTCCTCATCAAGCCGTTCTATGGGTCATTCGTTGTACCACATGCAGACCTAAACCAGGAAATACTTTAAAGTTCCAACTTGAATGGCTTTTGGTAGTGGAATTCACATCTGCACCATCCCAATCGTGTATCGGGAACATCTTCTAACGACAAATATGGGAGATGTTACCGATTAATGCACGGCTGGGATGTGTTGCGGGGCACAGATGTGAACTCTTTGGTAATGGAGTGGAGGAATTCACATCAGCGCCCCATAGCCCATCTCATCCATGTCTTCCTATGACAAACACACAAGAGATATTCGCAGTGCATGCTGAAATGTGCATGTGGGGTGCACTCTGTGAGGCATCAATCTGAACTTGTAGTGGAGATGAGATCTCCTACCAACTTGATCTAACACTGCATATTTCACCATCAGACTGGAACCCACTATAAAAAGTTGAAGTTGAGATCTGGCCATCTAACACCCGGACTCTTGGTAGTGGGGTCTTAATGAGTAGGAATGTCTCAATATTTATGGAGTTGAAAATCTCCATCATCCATATGGATAGAGGGTGATTCGAACCTGGTGGTGGACTGCTTTACAGGAAAGACATCACATCCATGGATTATTGCTTCATTAATCAAAGATTCTTAGTATTGATTAAAACTACAGCCTAGCATTTGAATAATTTATGACTAATCTGATCCCTCGTATTAGGGGGCTACTTCTCATTTCAATTTCAACAAGCGGCTATTTGTCTTCTGGAAAGAATATCCGAAGAGTGTTTTCCCCTCTAAAAAAAGAGAAGAAATAGTTCACTCCTTTCCCAAAAAATAAATTCTTGCATACATAGCTATTTACAAAAAACCACAAATAAAAGATTAGTAATTCATCATACTAACCTTTCTAATTCTAGTTCCCTAATTCAAATAAAAGATGCACCATAAGAACATTAATGGTGTGGATCCCATTCTTTTAGAAAAGTAGTTCATCAAATATAAATTAAACCTGATTTCTTCATCATCATCTACACCTTATTTTAACTATATGGGGTTGGTTACATGAATCCCGTTTTTCCAATTTGTTCTATTTAATACTATATTCATTAAATTATTAGTCTTTATTTTTTTTCAGAACCAAAACTTTACTCTAGGTGGAGGGGCCACCTTCAAATTTTATTGATCATCGAAAGAAAAGATTAGCAATATAAGAGAGGACTTAGCCCGCCTTGCCCCAAACCCGTATATACAAATCCATTCCCTTCCCACCTCAACCCAACCTAGAGTAATTCGATTGAAGCCAGGTATGCCTAGCTTATATCTTCCATGAGAAACTTACAAACATGAGATGGAAGAATATATATATATATATATATATATATATATATATATATATATATATATATA